GCAAGACTGCTTAAATAGACAACCAAAAGTTGTATATATGGCTAGTATGTATCCTCGTTAATGTAACAAAGTCAGGGTAGCCCTGTGGCTGCTCTGATATTCGATCCAAAGTTTAATAAAACGTGCCAAACCCCAAAGTGGTTACCTTAACATTAAAAAAAAAAAAAAACTTACTCTAATGCTAACTTTAATCACATAAAAAACCATTGTTTTAATTTTATATTATACCTGATCTTATGGGGTGCATTACAACACACATGCGATAAATAATTAAATCCTAAAAAAAATTCCAGTTTTTTATTTTTTTAGTTTTTTTTAAATTATAATCAACTCTTTCTAAATATAATTTATACAGATACTATATAAAATTTAAAAAATCTTATATTTAGGAAAATACTGTATTATATTTAAAAAAATAAAATCTATAAGTATATACAGTGGCCTACTATATGTTTGTGGACACTTTTCAAAAATTTATATTGAATTAAATAAGCAAGATATAGATTTAAAACTTATACGTATAAAAAATTGCTTAAATCTATAGCTTTTAAATAAAAAAAAATTCATAAAATTCTATGCAATAGTTGTTGAAATAAGTAAGGTTACACAAATTTGTGTAATGTTACACTTGTACGAAATTAGACTAAAAAGGAAATTGATCAGCATGATTGTTTTATATTAAAACTTAATTTTTTATTAAGTAAACTAAATATAATTATTAAATAAAATTTGTTCAGCATGACAAATTACATATTTTTTGAAATTTTTAGAATTTTTTAAAAGATATTTATTAAACTACTAAATACAGTAATAATTACTTTATTTAGTAATTTATTAACCTTAAAATTAAAATTTCAATTTTTATATTTAATATAAGTAATTTAGTTAAAATAACCGGTAGTGATTGTCACCTGTATTATGTAGTCTGTATTACAAAAGTCTGTGTTATATATGTATAATACGGAATTCTATAGCACATATGATAGTGTAAATTTGAAGTTAGAAGTTGAGTGATAAAAGTTGGGTTAATTTGAAGCACATACGTACATACGCAATTATAGTATTTCTTGTAAAAAGAAGTTTGGAGTAGAAGTTGGTTTAAAGCAAAACCTTAGAATAGAATGACTATATAAGGCAAGTTCTATACCGAATTTAAAAATGCTAAACTGCAAAGCTTCTTTCATTACTTAATTCTATATATATTACAATGAGCAGGTGTTTTACGACAGCTACGTTAGATTTTTTTTAATTTATAACACATTGAAGTTCTTAACGCTGCCATATTTAACTTGGTTCAGAAGGGGGAAATGTATACGTTAAAGCAACCCATCATCTCTTTGGAGTTATTAAGCTCTGGTCATTTAACTTAATTCAGAAGAAGGAAACGTATACGCTAAAGCACATATCATAATCTTTGGAGTTTTTAAGTATTGGCTGTATTTACAGTAACTTAGATTAGGAGAAAACGTATATATTGAAACACCTTACTATAATCTCTTTGAATTTTATTTTTAATAAAGAGAGAAAATGGACGCAAATGGTAAATTGAGTTCTAATTTTAATTCTTAGAGGATTATTTTATACTTTAAAAGGTTTTTTTTAATGAAAAGCATTATATAAATACAGGTGATGAATTTAATAAAGATTCTGTATTACCTTTTGAAGCTTGTACTCAAACAACTCAACATCTCGCCAAAGAACCTGAAGTGTCGAATAATGTCAGTCGATTTACTATTATTAGAGAAAATGAAGATTTTAACACTTCATTTTATAATCAATCTTATTGTCATAAAGAACATTATTCTGCTAATAGTAATGTTCATTCATTATCACTATCAGAAACCTTCTCAGCTTTAATATCTTATTCATCTCAATTTGATAATGCTAATACAAACTCAAGTTATGCAAATACAAATAATGATATTATCTTAGAATCCAATAACCAAATTAATGTTGGCGATACCTTTTTTTCCTGGGAAGTTGCAGAGGCATGTCTCAATTATTATGCAAAGTGTAATGAATTTTCTTTGCGACAAAAACATGTTGAATGTGACGATGACGGAATCGTACGACGAAGAACATTTGAATGTAGTTTTTCAGGTGATGCAGTCCCAAATAAAGTTATTGATCCAACATTGCAATGTAAAAGACCATCAAGGAAAGTTAAGTGCCCATGGCACATAAACCTTACCAAGCCAAAATCATCAGTTAAGGTTGGCATCACAAGTATTGTAGGAAATCATACCCACTCTATGTTATGTAATGTAGATTTGTTTATACCTAAATACCAGAGATTATCAGATGATGCAATGGAACATATCAAATTTTATGCTACTATAGAAAATATAGGAGCTAAACAAATTTATCCTTTGTTAGTTGCTAAGTTTCTGGAACAAGTTATATTAAAACAAGACCTTTATAACGCAATAAAAAAGTTTAAGTCACCTCTTACTAACCGCCATGGAGATGCACAAAATATAGTGAACAAGTTATTGGAGTTGAAAGACAAGGACCCTAGTTGGATAATTAATACTAGGCTAGATCAATATGATAATCGATTAGTTGGGCTATTTTGGATGTCTCCTAGCCAACATCAGTGTTTTTTACGATACAGTGATGTTGTTCAAACAGACAATACTTGCCGGACCAACTGGTTCGATATGTATTTAACTCTTTATGTAGTTGTGGATAATAATACTAAATCCCAACTTGTTGCACAGTGTCTATCTGAAGATGAAACAATTGAAAGTTATGAGTGGTTTTTAGAATATATTCTTCAAGCAACTAGAAATGAACCTCCTACTTATCTGTTTTCAGATGCAGACCCTGCTCTTATAAGTGCAGTAAGATCAAAAATGCCTACTGCTGATCATTTTCTATGTATATTTCATATACAAGAAAATTTGAGAAGAAATTTACGAAGCAAGTTTGGAAAAAACTATGAAACATTTTATAAAGAATTTCTGCATGTAAGGAATAGTTTTTTTGAGAATACATTTTACAGTCAGTGGGCACAGTTAATTGAAAGATATTCACAGTCAAAAGAATATTTAAATCAAGTTCTTCAGCATAATTATCAAGCGTGGGCAAAATGTTTTCAGATTAATACTTTTACAGCCGGGATTCAAAGTACTCAAAGAGTCGAGGTGATGAATAGGTTAATTAAAGAAGGAGTTAGCAGCACGTCTTCTTTATGTACATTACATAACCAAATTCAAAATCAATTAGATAATGAAGCTAGATGGGCTCGTCATAATAATTATCTTCAGAGTCTTTCAGCAAATGATGTACCTTCAACAATAGAGCCCGTTTTTTCTGAAGTACTTGATAAAATGAAAAAGTATCTTACATCTCATATTCTATCAGTTCTGCGACAACAGATACATGGAGTATTATTATATCAATCAAAACTGGTTAATAAAAATTCAATTATTATGCAGATATACATTTAATTTTATATATCTTGTTATGATTATAAGTTATCATATGATTTATAATTGCAATTTACTATTAATATTTTGTATTATAATATTTAGGATAGTGTAATATAATCAATTTTATTAGTAGATATTTTATTAGTTAAATTTATATTATTATATTTTATTAGTAA